TTCCATAGCTAGTGGCCCCACCTCCCAAGTCGATAGTTTCGTCACATCGTCCATGAACGTGCAAATCGACAGTTTCTTGCACCGTTTTGGCACAGGGCAGAGCGCCTTGAGCAATGTGTTTGCTTCGCTTGGGTCTTCAGCAAGCCAGGCAACAATGACAGGATTGTAGCAATCGTCGAAGTCCCGCGGTGCTAAACAGAAGCCCATCTGCGCCCCCGTCGCACTGGTCAAGTCTGCCCATCCGTTGCCCCCTGCAATGCCCATTGCTTGATGCTGAGCTGCCCCCAACGCAAACATTTCATCGCTCTCTGCCGACTGACGCGCAACCGTGGCCTCAGGTACCTCTCGTCGTGTGCTGGCGAAGGCGTCCAAGATTGGTCGTCGCATGCGTTTGTTGAGCTTGCCTGCGCCTCCAACGCGCAAGTTGCGAGGTGACCAGCGCGCTCTCCCGCGACCGATGTTTTAGGCCTCCGCGGGCCCAGCCAGGCCTGTCAACCTCTAGCGCCCTTTCATGCACCCCAGCGTGCCATGCAAGACCCCAGGAGCAGTCGCTGCCCATTGGTCTCCGTCCAGCAATCCCTTCTTTGCCATTGCTCTTACCGGGAGAAAATCTCCGCGCCCGTCGCGCGTCATGCGGCGCGCGCTGCGTCTGCCCCACGAGCGCGAACAATTTGTCCAACTGTGTCTGAAAGAAAGGTGCCGCATGACCGTTCGCGAGTCGCTGGCTCCCGATTCCAGCGCCCTTCGCGCGTCCAAATACCCAGTGCTCATCCACTATAATCTCCCGGGGCGCCTGCCCTTCCCCCCTCTGCCTTCTTCCGAAGCCCTCGCCGATCATCCATCCCATCTTCTCCAGCGGCCTCCTTCCTTTCTCCATGCTCCTTATCTCCATGTGCCTCCTTAGATCCTCCCCGTCCTCCTTCGCGTCCGCTCTGTTATGGGCCGCGCTCGCCAATGCCTCCGGCCTCTTGTTTGGGTGTTCCATGCGCGCCGTCGGAGCAAGCAGAGAAAGAGATGCCTCGCTAGGTAGCCCTCAGCACCAGCGCCCTCGTGTCCACGTCGTCATGCAAGAGCTCAGTGTGTTCTTCGCTCTCGGCCTCGTTGTTTTGCGCGTGTCTGGCCCCGATCCATTGTTTTGCATGGCATTCCACCCTCCGTCGGTGGGCGCGACGGTTCGGTAGCCCACTCCTTTTTGCTCCAGTAGGTCACACATGCATGATCGTACCGTTTCTTATGCCCCCCCCAATTCGCGCGCACTCCACCCGTGGAGCATGCGTCTCCGCCCGCCGCCCCCCCAGATGCGCCTCCCAGATTTCCGCGGCAAATTCCTTCTGTCGTCTTTTTGTTTCCGTCTTTCTGTTGGCCTTTAGTGCCGCCGATGCCGGTTGTGGCATTTCCTGCGCGTGCTCATGCCCCTCCTTCTCCTCCTCCGTACACCGCTCCTCTCCCCCCCTGAGTCCTCGCCTTTTGTCCAGCAGCATCATCCCGGCGTTCTGTGGCTCTTGCTGCCACTCGGGCATCTCCCGCCTTCTCGGCGGGGTGACCTCCTTAAGCGCGGTCCGCGCTGCTCCGCCGAGTAAGCCCCACATCCTGTCAGGAGTCTTCCTCGCCGCCGCCTCCCTCCACTCCTTCTCCGTCGTCTCCCTCGCCTCTTCCTCCACCTTTTCGAAGACCTCCCCCCTCCTAACTCCTTCTCTCAGGCGTCTCATGAGCGCCGTGCGATCCAGCGGCGGCGCGTGCTGCATGCGAGTGTAACTGCGAGACGCAAGGCCTTGAGAGACCTGCAGACCAACGGGCGCGTGAACCCTTGGGAACCTGCTCCTGACGGCTTGTAGGCGCCTCCCCGAGTTCTTGAGGACGCGGCATTGCTGCGCCAGCCCCCTGGCCCCCGACGGGATCGCGAACTGGTCGATCCTCGGACCTCCTCCTTAAGCCTCGTAGAACGTTTGCTGCGCAAGCTCGCTGTCCGACCTCGGCATGAACAGTTGGTTGCCAGCACGCAACTTTCTGAAGCGCTTCCTATTTTCGTTCTCGCAACGGGGGTAGTACCTGCCCACTGCCCGTCCCTGCGTGCTCCCCACACCCACTTCGTCTCTCGCTAGGCCGAAATCGTTTGTGATGTCCCCGCCCACAAGCAACGTCACCCTCACCCCCGCTCTGTCGTACAGTCCCTCGATCCAGTTGCAGATTCGGTCGGCCGTCTCTGTGCCCCACGCTGCCGTCACATGGGAGAATAAACGGCTACGGTAAGAACGTCTTCCTGTTCAGTGCGGATGCGTACCGTCCCTGCGAGCCCTTGCATCGTCCTGGCTGTGTCGTAAGCCTCTCTCAATGATGTCTTGCTGTACTTGTTGCTCATCAAAATAAAGACCCCGCATATTTTATTTGAGTGCCGTCCCCTTCCGTTCCAGAATCGAACTACCCAATGGTGATCCAACTGTATTTGCGCACTGGGGTAATCCAAATCGGCCCTGTGTTGTGCGCCCGCCATGATCACGCAATCTCATGGCTTGAGTTCCCTACTGGTGTCCTGAAGCCGGTCAAAGTCTGCATACACTTGGTTATATGTCACAATCCGTACCATGCTATCGCACTCGGTCTTGGGGCGCGGGACAAAAATAAACGTTACCTTGTGTAGGTTCGCTACCTACCCTTGTCTGGGGGCGCAAAAAAAAACACGTCACCTTGTGTAGGTTTGCTACCTACCCTTGTCGTGAAAGAGGTGCTCCCTGGCGCCAGCTGACCGTCCCTCCCATCCCGTCGTATCGTCAGCACAGCAGCAGTCGCGACCAGAAGAGAGATCAGCGCCATCCCCCCCTCACCCTTCGGCCGCGCGACGGGGTGCACACGAAAGAGGGCGCAGCTGGCCCATCAGGCCAGTCGGTCACCGCTTCTTGGCTGGAAACGGCGACCGGGGGAGGAGGAGGAGGAGGAGGAGGAGGAGGAGGAGAGGGAGGAGGAAACCGTGGAAGCCCTTGGCCGACCAGGCGCCGACGCCATTGCCCTCCTCCGCGCGTGCGCGCCAGAGGACCCTCCTGAGCGGTCGTAAGTTCTGGGCTGCGCTTGGCAGTCGTTGTCAGCGTTGCTGCAGACCCAGAACGCAGAGCTTTGGCTGGCCGCCGAATCGGCTTGATGCGTCGCCGTTTGTTGCTCAAACTGACCTTCCCCTTCCCTTTCCCTCCTCCTCCTCCGCCGCGTCCTTCTCCTCCTTCTCCTCGCTTCTCCGTGGTCGTTTTGGCTGCTCTTTCCTCCGTAGTCGTTTTGGCTGCCAGAGCCGCCCCTGTGCCTTTTCACTCGCTTCTCTCCCTCCTTCTTCTTTTCTCTCCTGCTCCTTGCCCCCGGCGGTGGTGCGCGGCGCCTAACGGTGTGGTTCGGTGGCGCACGCCACGCGGCCGCGGCCCCTTCTCCTCCGTCTCCCGGTCCCTCCTGGCTCCCTTTCCCTCTCCCCTTTGCCTCGCCGCTGCTGCTTTTTAGGGGTGTGCCCTGTCGCCGGCGCCCTGGTGAATAGGCGCCCTCCACCGCGGGTGCTGAGAAACATTCTGGATGGGCACACCCTTCCTTGTTTTTACTGATGCATGGACTCGGCCGCGACACGCCTAGCCCTAGTGGACACCCACTTCAAAGCTAAGTGCGAGCCGGGGCTGCGGATTCAGCTGGAGAAGGAGGAGGAGGAGGAGGAGGAGGAGGAGGAGGAGGAGGAGGAGGAGGAGGAGGAGGAGGGGAGCTCTGGGGCCGCGGGATGAAACAAAACCCTCGGCGGATGTCAGGGACCCACCCGCCCGCCCCGCACGGGCGCCGGGCACGCGCGGGAAAGCCCCTGACGGCACGCAGCTGCCCAGGAAGGCGGCAGCCTGCGGCGGGCAGCCCTCGCCCCCCAGCGGGGCCGCAGGCGCACCGGCAGAGCCAGAGGCTGCCCCCCGCAGGAGAGGGGAGGACGGGAGGGAGGAGGAGAGGAAGGGGGGGAGAGGGAGGCAGAGAGAAGCGGAAGGGGGAGGAGGGAGGGTGGGGAAGGAGGAGAGGAAGGGGGAGGACGGGAGGGAGGAGGAGAGGAAGGGGGGGAGAGGGAGGCAGAGAGAAGCGGAAGGGGGAGGAGGGAGGGTGGGGGAGGACGGGGAAGGAGTGTGAGCAAAAATCTGAAGGAGCGCTGAGAGAGAGAACGGAGGGGCCTGTCTGGCCACGGCTGGCCTCGGCTGCGGACACGTCCCCCGACCTGAATCTCGGGAGCGGCCCGGTAACCGGAGCCCCTCCGGTGCCCGAATCTGTCGCTCTACATCCACTCGGCGTGTCTATGTTTACTGCACTTCGAGCCTGCAAGTGGCCTCAGAGTGTGGGAGGCGGCCAGCGGTCTGAGCTGGTTGGGCCCCGAGAAGCAAGGGGATCATACCAATCTGTTAAGCGGGGAGGGCGATGAGGCCAAATCCGCCCAAAATCTGTCCCCAGACCCCTTCTTGCGTCCGCCTGGTGCAGCTTGTCACGCCGGACCAACTTTTGATGGCCCGGGGGCCCGAAAGCGGCCCCCCCGGGGGCCGAAGAGGGCAGACCACTTTTTCTCTCGAGCCCAGAACCTCGGTCCTCTCCCCCCTCCCTGCTGGCCAGAGCCGGTGCTGGGCCACCTCAGACCCCCAGCCGACTCCAAGCCCCAAAGTGGTCCTTCTCTCAGTTTCTCGACTGCACGTCGGTGTCGCGAATGGTCGGAGAATAGTCCTCTGGTCGCCCGTCGCCCGTCCTTTGAGCAGGGACCGACCGTCCCTAGGCCTACCACGACAAGTTCTTAGAAGCCCCAAAATATTCGAATCACAAAAACAATGTTCATAGAGCACAGACCCGCTGTATCAGAACAAGGTAGTCTCAGCCAAAACTGTCCTAAGAACATTTCGTGCAAGCCGCAACAGGTTCGTAGAAGATTCTTTGGTAGGCCTATAGGCAAACCAGAACGCTTCGCCACTGCTTGCGAGTCCTCGCCTGTTGCCGGCCGCGACGAAAGCGAGGGGCCGCGGCTCCGCTGACGCCCGCCGCCTTGGACCACAACTTCACAGCCACGCCGAGGTCTCGCACGGCCCCGTGACCTCGACGACGACGACGACGACGACGACGACGACGAGGACGACGAGGACGACGAGGACGACGACGATGACGACACCCGCGGTCGTCGCCGCACATGGCGTGGCTCTGGCGCACGACGACGATTCCGAGATAGAGACCTCCCAGGTGGGGTCGGAGTAGAGGGGGTCAGAGGATCGCGCCGCATCGGCGATACATCGGCGATGCATCGGCGATGCACTGGCGATGCACTGGCGATGCACTGGCGATGCATCAGCGACGTCGGCGATGCACCGGCGACGTCTGCGACAAGAGAATCAGGCTCTGCATCGAGCCGCATCGCCGATGCATCGGCGATGCGGCGCGATCCTCTGACCCCATCTGCTCGGACCCCATCTAACAGGCCTAGAGGAGAGGACACTGACATCCGCGCGTCGTGAAAAAAAAACGGCGGGGGATTCTTGGACGTGGTTCGCCCCCGCGGGCCTGCGCCAAGCCCCCGGGGCTTGGACGAAACGACTCGAGATGAGAAGCCGGTCAGGGGGAAAAGGGGTCAGACCTGTGAGGAGCCACGCTGCGAACAAAACAAGACGGAGGATATCTGGGGAATCCGGCTTCTCGACGTCCCTGGCCCGTCTCGTGCCTCCACAGGCATCTGGAGGCCGCAGGGGGGCTTGAGCCAGGCGTGCGTGAACGGGGGAGAACACATGGATAGAGCGAAGGAAGGCGCACCTTTCGTCACCTTCCCTGCAGCCGTCGATCCCTGCAATTTACTGCCCCACGTAGCGACACGCCCGATCGAGGATCAACAACTCCTGTAGCTTTAGTCAGAGCTGCACGGGGCACTCCACGAACGTACGGCACCGCATCTCAAGTGGGTCCGGGCGGGTTGATCAACTATAGCCGGCTTCCAACACTGACGTCGACTATGTAAATTTACGCGTGGACTGCACCAGCACACTACGATCCTCGATGGCCTTGTCTGGGTGGGGCGTTCTCATTGCCACGTTCTCATTGCCCGACCTTGCTAACGGATGCGAATTTCTGAACGTTTGTCTGGCCTGTCTCGGACCTCTGAAGGCCTCTGGGAGGCCCCAGGGGAGCTCAAGAGAGCTTCGGAGACCTCCGAAGGGACACGCCCCTCCTCCACCTCCGCGTTGCGTTGGGCGGGCCTTAAGAGCCAGCGCTTCTGAGGAGTCGACCCGAGTAACTATTTCATCCATGGAAGATCGCAACGCCGCACGGCCGTGCATGAATGCCAATCGTGAGCAATGCGGGATATCTCGAGGGCCCACTGGGGGCAAGAGCAATACAGCAGCTGCGTTCCGCCTGTTTCTGCCCATGCCACTGCTGCCAACAACTGAATGCCCAGAGAGATGATGCATTATTTCGGCGCACACGTGTATTTACATTCATAGAAACACATATATGTACACACTTGCTCGGGAGTTCGGATGAGGTGTTCGGGTGTTAGTGTTTGGAGTTATGGTGATCAAATTTGGGTATTAGGACTCGGGTGTCAAGGTCAGGGTACTCGGATCGGTGCTCGGGCTTCGGTGGTTGAGTTCGGGTTGAGATGTCTCTGGAAATCAACATTCATATTTCGTATACTTTTTTTTTAGCATTTCAACGTGCTCGCGTTTCCATGACAGAAGTGGCTCCCCAGGAGGCCCAAAAACGGCCCAGGCAGGCCTTCAGACTGCCTAAAAGGCTGAGCAAGACGCCTCAAAATGGCCCATAGAATGACAAACCGACTTGACATTTCGAGCCCTGCCCGAAAAACGGTCCTGGACACTGCCACGGAGCTCCCGAGATGCCATCAAAGCCCCCCAAAGCCCCCAAGAGGCCCACGCTCTCAAGAGACGCCTCCCGGAATCCCCACAAGCTCTATCACCCCGATGCGCTTCATGCACCATATGACCCCGTACTCCGATCGACCTCGCGAACCTCACAACCCCTACGAACCCCATGACCCTGATAACCCTTATGAGCCCTACGGTCATTACAAACCCAATAAGGCCCACGAGCCCTACGCGCCCTCTAAGAGGCCCACGAGGCCTTGAGCCCTATGAGGCCTACGAGCCCTATGAGCCCATGAGCCCAATGAGCTCCTGAGCCCTACGACACCTGTGAGCCCGACGACCTTTGCAAGTCCTTCGAGCTCTACGAATCCTACGACCCCTGTCAGCGCTCCTAGCCCTCAGCCTCAGCCTCAGCCCCATTTGCCCTACGAGCCCTTCTATGCACCACAGGAGCTCACGAGTCCAATGCGTCCTGTGACCATATACTCCTCACGACCTCATGCGCCTCCCAACCCCCACAAGCCCCACGATCTTGATGAACACCCCTCCGAGTCCTATATCACCCCTACGAACCCTCTGAGCCCCATGAGCCCTGTGTGCCCTCCAAGAGGCCCCCCAGACACCTCCCCCAGGAGCTCACGAGCGACCTTGCTCCCACGCGTCCAGTGGACGCGACACCATCAGCCCACATGAGCTCGATGGGCCCGTCGAGCCCTGCGAGCTTATCGACGTCTTCAGGGTCGCGAGCCCTGTGGCCACGATGAGCCCCAATGGCCACGATTAGCCCCATAAGCCATATGGCACCGAAACGCCCTATGCGCCCTATGGCCCCTCTGAACCCCATGAGGCCTATGACTCCTATGAGCCGCATGACCCCGATGAGCCCTGTGAGCTTTGTGGGCCCTCTGAGCCCTGTGTCGCTTATGAGCCTACAACCTTATAAGCCCTCTGAGCCATGTGCGCCCGACGAGCCTCATGAGCCCTACAAGCCCAGTGAGCCCTGTAAGCCCTATGTCGCCCATGAGCCGCATAAGCCCTGCGAGCCCTTTGAACTCTATCAGCCCCACGGGCCCCACGAGCCGCATTGCCCCAAGGAGCCTCCACAACCTATGAACTGTATTAGCCACGTGGGCCGTATGAGCCCTTCGACCCCTACGACCCGTTATGAACCTTGTGAGCCTTTTGAGCACGGTCGGCATGACCCCTATGAGCGCCATGAGCCCCATGATGAGCCTTCCAAGAGCCCGTGACTTCTGTTTGGCCAAGGCCCCTACGAGCCCTAGAACCCTAATGAGCTCCTGAGCCCGAGTAGACCAATGCACCCAATCACGCCTGCGGGCCCTCGGAACTTCATGATCCCCATGAGTCGCGCTGGCTGAATTACCCCTCTTCCCAATTAAGGCTTCGAGCCTCTGAGCCCTCATGGCGGCGGAGAGGCCTTTGATCCATCTGACCTGGTAGAGCCCATGGGTCCTGTCAGCCTCGCGTGACCCATGGACCTTACAACTGAAACGTACGGTACTGGCATGTACCGGTCGCGGCGGGCCTCTCTGGCGCCATACGATAATGATTTTTACAGCGAAGCGAACGAGCCAGTAACATCTGGTGTGTAAAAAGTCATGTGTATATATACACACCTATACGACCACCCTTCGGGTGATAAGGAGGTTGTGTGTGGGGGGGTGAACCAACATCTGACTCAATCGATCTCACTATCGATCTCACTCAACGGGACACTACGGAACACCGGACACCACAGGACACCGCGGGACACTTGTCGATCTCACTATCGATCTCACTCAACGTGACACCATAGGACACCACGGGACACCACGGGACACCGCGGAACACCTCTCGACCTCAGTATCGATCTCAGTATCGATCTCACTATCGATCTCACTCAACGGGACACCAAAGGACACCACGGGACACCACGGGACACCACATCGATCTCACTATCGATCTCACTATCGATCTCACTCAACGGGACACCACGGGACACCACAGGACACCTGTCGATCTCACTATCGATCTCACTCAACGGGACACCACGGAACACCTGTCGATCTCACTATCGATCTCACTATCGATCTCACTTTTTGGGACACCACGGGACACTTCGGGGCACCACATCGATCTCAGTATCGATCTCACTGTCGATCTCACTATCGATCTCACCCAACGGGACACCACGGGACACCAAGGGACACCACGGGACACCGCGGGACACCGCGAGCCACCGCCGGACGGACGGACGGGGGGCCTGGAGGGGGAGAATCATTTGTCTTGACTTCGTCCTAGCAACGGCGGTCACCACGGGACACCACGGGACACCGCGGGACACCGCGAGCCACCGCTGGACGGACGGACGGACGGACGGGCGGGAGGGGGAGAATCACTTGCCTTCACTTCGCCCTAGCAACGGCGGACACCACGGGACACCACGGGACACCACGGGATACCGCGGGACACCGCGAGCCACCGCCTGACGGGCGGGAGGGGGAGAATCATTTGTCTTGACTCCGCCCTAGCAACGGCGAGTTCATTCCTCTCGCGCGCCCACGCAGCTTCGCCTCGCCCGCACCCGCGACACGAACGAAACGAAACGATTTCCTGGTTGGAGGTCTCCGTTCCATTGCGATCTCACCCCCCATCCTCCGATACATGTATATATATATATATATACAGAAGCGCACATACACCGATAAATCCCGGGAGGCGTGATCAATCGCCGTGCACATGCCCTTGCCCGCGCATGCCTTCTCCTAATCCTGCTCCTGCTCCCCCACCGCCTGCTCCAGGCTGCGGGCTGCGGATCCTGTTGTGCAGCGCAGCATGGAGCCATCGCGCGCCCCTCTCCTCCCAATCCTCTCCCCATCCGCGAGCGGCTTGAGAGGGGTGGGGCTAGGGCACGGCGTAAACGGGAGCATGAATTTTAACACAAAGGCCCCCCCCCCGGGGAACGAAGGAGATCGACGGAGGGGCGACGCGGGGAGAAGCAACATGAGAACCAGAGAGAGAGAGAGAGCGGGAGAGAGAGGGGGGAGTAGCAGCTAGGGGGAGCAGCAATCACGACGGAGGAGGGCGAGAGAGGGGAGGAAGAGGGTCGCCAACGCAGCCGGACCACCCAAAGAGCACCACGCAGGGAGGGTACCCCA